GGTGTGGGGTGGCCACTTATTACTGAGTAGCAGAGGTTGATATTATCAGACCTGAGACCAGAGACTGTCATTTGCATTTCTTTGTATCTCCAGCATTTAGCATGGTGCCTGGCTCACAGTATCACTTAATAAATGCTCATTGAATGACTGACTACGAAAATAACTTTATTAGCTAGATAGAGAAAAGATTGGAGGAGGGAGGGGTTTGAGTCATAGAGATCAATTAGAAGGCTATTGCAAAACCTAGATTAGAAATGATAAGAGCCTCAACTGTATTGGTGGTTGTGTCTGTGGAGAGAAAGAGATCAGAAGGAGAAAGGTTGAGGAATTAGAGATAAGATTTGGCAATTGGAAATGCAGGATGAGCACGAATGGACTTGGAAATGCTTTTTATAAGGTAAGGGTGTGTTATAAACATGATTGCTCTGGTGAGAATTCAGTTGAAGGGAAGCTGGAAATGTTTTAAAGTAGTAAGTAGCAGATAAAGGTAATTTTATAAAGTTTCAAACTACACTCATTGTTTGACTTCATACTGCATTTGCAATATCCTTCTTAGTTAATGAAGTTTTAATGTCTTTGGAAATAGCTTGTCTGCCTATGGGGTGAAGTTAAAGAATGTCTAGACTCTCTGAAGTTCTTCTCTTGTATGAGAAACTGAAAAATGAAGTATTTTTACTTTAGGCAGACATTTAAAAAATACTGACTTAATTAACATAAGTGAGTATATTAACGTCAGAACAATAAATAAATGAGTGAATGAAAAAACATTTAGCAAGTGCTTATTATGTCCAAAGCAGTGTGCTGCACACTTTGTATACAAATTGAAAAGTCAGATCCTACTCTTGATATGTCATATAGTATTCAGGAAGACAACACAAATGGGAGGTTTTAGCTAGGAGTCATAGGGAAAGACCTTTAGGATGCAGCAGCAAATCAGATAGTGATATATCTTCTTTCAATGTCATTTCTATTAATAAAACCCTTGTAGTGTTTGATGCTGAGCTATTTGACAACATCAGGGACTTTGGTGGCAAGAATTTGTGGACTTTGGAGCACTGCTGTTCTTAAGGCTCTCAGGGTCCTCTATAGGGACCCAAAGGAAGGTGATTGTTGAGGTGGTGATGGTTTGATTTGCCTAACAAATGTCACTTAACCCTAAAAAGTGACTTGTTGCTTTAGCTCAGCTAGCTTGCCTGTATATTGAGTTGAACATTTAATCAAACTCAGTGCTGTAGCCTTATAGTAAGACATCAAAGGAGGTGGAAATATGAGGAAAGTGCCAAACAGCACATCCAAGGGATTAAACTATGGGCCTAGACAACAAAACCAATAATATAAAAAATCGCAAGAATTCATTCCATCCTCTAGTAATCTAGATTCCTATTCTAGTCTTCAGAAAATTAGGCAAAAATGTTTAGATACTCTTTGGCACAGATTTGAACTCATGAAGCTGAGTCTTGGTTCTAGCCCACCTTTCTATCCACCACACCACCTAGCTGCCCTCACAAGGCAAATCATCAGTTTCAGATATGAAGTCTGAGAGAAGCTGTGCGGCCAAGTGAATAGAAATGTGATTTTAGAGGCCGGAAACCTGAGTTCAAAGTCCACCTCTGAAACACACTTTCCATATAACTCTGAGAGAACCATTGAACATGTCAGTGCCTCCAGAAAACTCTACAACACTTTTAAATTACAGAATTGTTATGATATACTTTGGTAGATAATGTTTCCTTATGAGTTCCCTTGCTTAGTGAAATTACAGATTAAAAAAAAAAAACTGCTTTTCCTCTTCTCTCATTTAGTATTGTTGACTATCACTACTCAGCTCTCAGTTCTTCATGATATTCCAAATACAACAATTACTTTTAAGCACCTACTATGTGCTAAGCAGAGGGATACAAAGAAAAAAATAGTCCCTGCACTCAACTTCCTTGCTTACTATTGAAGAGTGTGTGGGTGTGTGTGTGTGTGTGTGTGCGAGCACTCGTGCGCGAAGATGTGTTGTCATATATGTATCTCTCTCTCTATTGAAGTATGAACATGATAATTTAATAATTTAAGGAGGAAAGCTAGACCACTACATGATAGCTAGTATTTATTTAGGACTTTGAGGTTTTTAAAACACTCTACAAATATCATCTCTGATCTTTACAGCCACCCAGTGGGGTGTAGGGTGTGTTCAGAGAAGACTGGTACCTCTGGTGTGAAGGTTGCTGGGCCCATTTCAGGGCTGTTTTCCACCTTTGGTGTCCACCTGATACACCCAACACTCATCTGTGGCTCCAGGAAACTGTGGCATGCACAGCAGCCACCCCAGGTAAACAGTTTTGGCAATGGCTAAAAAAGATTAAAGGTAACCGACGGCTCTCAAATTCACTGGTGAATTTGGGGGATGTCTAGCACTGCCATCTGAAGCCATGAAAGCGGCTAAAGTAGGCACTGTGGAACATTTGGCACTTGGCTAGACATCGAAGATGTCAAGGTAAATCTTGAAAGAAAACTGGGATTCCAGGAGGAGGTGAGGAAGAAGTGCATTTTAGGCAGCAGTACAGATAGTATAAAGGCATGGGAATGGGAAAAGGATTGTTGCATGTGAGGTATATGGGTAAGACTGTATGGCTGGATCATAAGGTATATGGATTGGAGGCAAGTGTAAGAAGGCTAGAAGTGAAGGAAAGTGATAGGTTGTAATGATCTTTATATTAGATTCTAGAGGTATTAGGGAACTACTGGAATTTATTGAGTGAGGAGTCTGGGGTGAGGTGACATGGTCAGACAAATGTTTTTGAAAAATTAAAGCATTTTGGCAACTTTGAAGTAGATGGATTGGAATGGAGACAGGCATGAAGGAGGGAGACCAAATAGGAGGTTATTGTAATAGTTTAGGAGAGAGGTGACTAAGGCCTGAACTAAGGTGGTGGCAGAGTGAGTATGGAGAGGGGGAAAGAAATGAGAAATGTTATGGAGATAGAAATACCTTGGGAGTAATACCTTGCTGCTTTCCAATTTTAAGGGAGCCCCTCCCATCAACTCCTCAGACTGGCCTTCATTAATCTGATCCTACTCTATCCAACAAGTTCCTCAGACAGATTACTACTTCTTTTAGTGGTGTTCCCTCTAACATCTGGAAAGGATATCCCCTACTTGAAGGAATCCTCCCTACTTATTAAGAAAGTGTTAAAGCACCTTAATTTCTAATCAATCATTTGTAGACCATTGCATAGGTTATTAAAATCAAATTAGACTTTTAGTCTTCTCTGCTGTTTCATGTCTAGATCTGAAGTAGAAGGGATAGACCTGGGAAATTGTTCTTTTTCCTATTAGTTTTGAGGGGATGGGAAAGGAGATTGGGATAGATTCCAGAATCAGGTAGATTTGAATTTGTGGTAGGTTTGTGGGACACACAAACACATATACATAACTGTATATAACTATAACTACATATATAGTGTGTGGGTATATATATATATATATATATATAGGCATGCATATATATATATACACACACATATATATATGTTTAAACATATCTATCATCCATCTATCTATCTATCTATCTATCTATCTATCTATCTATCTATCTATCTATTTATCTATCTCAATCCTAAATTTCTCATTTGGGTGAGGAAACCTGAAATTCAATGAGGGAAATGTACTGCTTCTTTGGTACCTGTTGTACTAAACACATCCTATTAAGCTCATTATGAGGAAGGACCATTTCATTTTTTGTACTTTAAAGGTTGTGTTTGTCTGGCTGAATTGAATATGGTCTTTTGGTCATTTTGGTCCAGAAATGATTAAGGAAAATTAGAGATGACTTAGTCAAGAAAGAAGAGATTTGACCTCCATGTACCAAATTTAAGACAGTTTAGTAGAACATTAAGCAAGTGATATTCTTTTCCTTGTAAACTCTTCTCTCTCTGCCTCGTCCATAGACTTTAAAATATATGTCTAATCTAATTAGCATTTTAGGAACAAGGCCACATGGAAATGCAATAGCAGGTCTTGAACTAGATAAGATTATTTTTTTTTTTTTTATGCATTGTGTTTCAAGTAAGGGTCCTTTCTTCCTAACTTGGCTTCAAGTGAGTTTAAGATTTATAAATAGAAACACTTGTGCTAACTAACATGGTACTAAGTCACTATTGTTGTGTATAATTGGTACCAAAATATTCTCTACTGGGGTTACCTAGTTGTCATATTCATTCCAGACATTGTCAGTAGAAACATAGTCAAATAGACATTTAATTAATGAGATATCCCTAATGTTTCCAGGGGTGCCACAGCTGCATATTACTGCAGTGGCAAGTGAGTTTTCTCTTGCTATTGTTCAGCCATTTGCAGCTAGATATTTTACATTTCTGTGGTACCTGAGGGCTGTTTAAAGTATCCGTTTGTGGATTTTACTTCCCAGCAATTGGTATTAGATGAAATTCTATGAGAAATTAAAAGCATCTTTGTTGAAGTCTTTCTTGCTGTTTATTTTGCAGCAAAACAGCTTAATTAAATCCATTTCATTGACCTCCATTTGACAGTGAGTCCGTGCAAAAGCCTTGGCTGACCACTTTGATTTATTTTTGAGCCCCAATAAGTGATTAGTCAACATTCCAAATAAATATCCTAGAGGAAAATGAAATCATTTCACTCATTTGCGAAGTCCTTAGGCTTCAGGTTAAGAGCCTTTTACTTTCTTGGACAAGTGACTAGAACCTTCCAATTGATGCTGTTATTTCTGTGTTTTCCTAAAGGATTTTAAAAACACAAGATTCATTAGCCTGGATTCTAGAACACAGTGCCAGTGAGGGAGTCCAAGTTCATGGGGCTAATTCCCCTAGAGGTATGTTAGCTTCACTCTGGTTCACGACTCTAGACTACAGGCAGATTACAAATGTTGAACATGGGTCAGTGTGGTAGAAAGACATGAATCATGTCCCTTCTAGAAAAATACAAAAACAAAAACTGTGTATTTGCTATCCCCTCAGCTGCACGGGTAACGGCATCAAGCACTTATTGGAGGAATATTCTCGCAAAGCATTGTGTTAGGTACTGAGAAGAGTGCAGAAAGATAGAATCCATAGTCTTGATGTCAAAGAGCTTATAAGCTGCTTGGAGAGACAAATTATAGATATATGAATAGCAATAAAAGCAGCCTGTACTTAGGAAACCTATACTTATACAGACAACACACATGTGACATATATAAAAGAGACAGAGCATTAGGTTGGAAACATTTGGAAAAAGGAAGGCTCTGGGACTTGAGATGGGCTTTGAAATAAAGGTAGGTAAGTAAATTGTGGAGGAATGGGAGGAGGAGGAGTGATGACATTTCAGAAATGGGAAATGTTGTCAAGAAGTTAATGGTAGGAATATGCATAGGAATGTAGGATCCTAGCTCTAACTCTGGCAGGGACCTTAGGAACCAGAGAGTCCATGTTTATGGGATAACAAGAGAATAGTTTGGAGCAGCAATTGTCTGTGGGAACACTGGGAAGTGGTGTTGAGACCCACAAGAATACTGATAACAGTGGAATGAGGACTGGGTGCAGTCGCATTAGTGTAAAGTAATAGCCATAGGCAAGGAAGTTGCATGAGATAAACCATCACTGTGCTCCCATTTTGGGGTGTTTCACTCTGGAACTTTGAAACTTCTGTTCTCAAATTTATCCCTGCCTCCTGTCTCACTTGATGGATTTGGTATTCTGATGGCAGAATTTTGTGGAAGGAACATGGAGTTTAGAGTCAAAAGAGTTAGGTTCAAAATCCTTTTACTTTTCTGGGTCTCAGTTTTCTAATCTGTAAAATGAGGGGGTTGGACTGAAAGACCTCCAAAGTTGCTTAGAGCTCTAAAGTCCTGTGAATTCTGGCTTGACCTAGCACTGGCCTCTGATTGTGCTTTTTGATAATTGCTTGAAACATGCTCTCTTTAACAAGGAGGGTTTTTTTTTAATCTTTGGAACCCATTAACTGTTTTTATCAAGAACAACAGCTTTTCCTAATTCTGTCCTTCCCTCCCTTAAACCAGACAGGAACCAGAGATTTGACAGGAGATGTTGGAGAAATAGGTGGAGACCTTTCTGTGGAAGGCCTTTCATGGATAGTTCAGGAATTAAATCTAGAATTAAATCAGGAATTTACTCTAGAAGAGATGTGAATCTTCTGAAAATGCTTGAGCTGAGTGGTGACAGATGCAAGTGGTATTTTAGGAAGAATAATCTAATGGCATTGTGTATGATGGTTTGGAAGAAAGGCATATGCAGGGTATTTTAGGTGGGAGCTAGTTCTTTCTGATAAAGCTTGTGAAAGCACTTGTAATTTATTTTTTGAGTCCCAAAGAGCCACTTCCCTGTGGCTTCCAAGACCCACTCAGTCATGATGAAAAAAGTCTTCTGCGCAGTTGGGTCTGAGAAAATCCCCAAAGAGCAGGTGTATAGCCCTTAAATGCTTCCTGGAGAGGCTGCCCCCAGATGCCTATTCATGTTGGACCTGTATCCCAGATTATTCACCTGGGGTCAGTTCTTCACTGATTTGTGCCAGCTGCTAGATGTAGCTGCAACCTTGTTTGGCCATAGGCTAATTTTAGCCTCCATAGAGGTAGCTAGTGGGTGCAGTGAATAAAGCACTGACCCTGGAGTCAGGAAGACTTGAGTTCAAATATGACCTCATTCTTATTAGCTATGTGATTCTGGGCAAGTGACTTAACATCTGTCTGCCTCAGTTTCCTCAAATGTAAAATGAGGATCATGGTTGTTGTAAAGATCAAGCGAGACAATATTTCTAAAGTTCTTTGCCAACCTTAAAGTAAGCATAAATGATAGTTATTATTGTTATTTATTTTCTCAGAAGTCAAGTTTTCATTGTTGTTCTTACTATTAACATTGTTAAAATCATTGTTTCTAATGCTTCTCTTGCTCTGCCTACTTCACTTTGTGTAAGTTCCTATCTCTTCCCATGCTCCCCCATATTCTTCACATTCACCATTTCTTCAGGTTCAAGTAATATTTCTTTACATTCATGTAATACAATTTGTTTTGGCATTCTTCAATTGTTTGGCATCTACTTTTTTCCAATTTAAAACAAACTTTGCATCCTTTTCTCTCCAAGGAAATAAGTGAGAATTCAGATCTTATTAGGAATTTAAGGAATTTTAAATTATTTTTCACAAATTTCAAAGTGTTCTCTGATATTGATAAGCCCTTTATCTTCACTGTAAACACTACGATTAGATCGATGTGCTTTCTTCTTGAAATGCTGAAGCCTAATCATTCAGAGGTTGCATCCTGGCACTTAAATAAAATTCCTTAGGAACAAGATTTCAAGGCAATGTAGATTGATTATTCATTTTCAAAGTAAAGTATGCTTTAAGGTTCTTTGAGTGCTCTCAAATGATGGAGTTAGGGTACAATCTAAGCACAAATTTATAAAGTAAGGTTTCTGGTCCACACTCTATCATGGGATAAAAAATTTTAAGATGAAAGGAACATTTTAGACTATGCCGTGCAGCCTCCTCATTTTACTGATGAGGAAAATGAGGGCCAGAGAAGTTACATAACTTACTCAGTGTCATGCACTGAGGGCTTGAATCCAGCCTCTCTGTCTCTAGAGACAATGTTCTCTGGGATACAGAGCCCAAGGATACAGGGCCTGGGATACAGGCTGAACATGAATTGGCATCTGGGGGCAGCCTCTTCAGGAAGCATTTGAGGGCTATACACCTGCTCTTTAGAGATTTTCTCAGACCCAACTGCTAAGATGTTATTAGCCTGAGTCCTTTCCTTGCTGGAAACTTACCTATTATAGCTTGAGTCATTGGGTAAAGTTCTCATGTTTCCATTACTACTGATGCCAACTTGAAAAAAGGTAACTTGGTTGAACCCTACTTTTCTGGTTTTCAATCTGGAAAAGTAAAGCCATCCACATTCATAGGAATGGACAGAAGAATGGAGGAGAGGCATTGTAAAAAAAATTCTTTTAAGCTAACCAGCTGGTCTTATTACATCTCCTCTTATCTTTTCTGCTACTTTTCTTCCTATTTTGGTGAAATTACAACATGACCCACCGTAAGAGTGCTGGATTTGGAATCAAGATACCATGGCTTCAAGCCTGATTCTTCAGGTTACTAATGTGTGACCTTGAGCAAGGCACCTAGTTTAATTGATCTGTACATTGAGGGGTTGGACTAAATGACCTCTAAATTCTCTTCTAGGTGTAGATTGATGATCCTTTGATCAGGTGTTCCAAAGAAGAGAGTTCTAAAGGGCAGGGTCCTGGAAGAATGTTTTCGTCTTCTTTTTTTTTTGTATCAAATGGAAACCAGGAGATAGTTTTGTCCCCTTGAATATTTCCACATTGTGAAAGCTCTTCAGAAGCAATTATTTTTCTAATTTCATAATTCACTAAGTCAATTTTTATTTCAAGGCTCTGGAATATCATCCAGGTGAGTAATTCTTCCACTAATACAGATTGCAGCCTTCCCATACCTACCAGAAGGTAATCTGAATGAGCTTTTATGGGTGCAAAACTACTCACTAGACTTCTCATAATGAGCCTTTGCACAATTAGCTAGGCTAGGGTTTGGCTGGCAGAAACATATCTGTCATTGCACTGGTACTAGGAATTCAGTATGACCTGTCAGAGGTAGGGTTCCGCTGTCCTAGGGATAGAGATTAAACCTGATATTCCATTCGTAAATGGAGCTTCCAGGTGAGGAAGCTCCCTCTATCAATGATGGTTGTTGGCACCTTTGTAGTTTAGAGTCTGAGAGGGTTTCCCAAAGCACTGAGGTTAAGTGGATTACCTGGGGTCACACACACAGCCTTGTATATGTCAGAGGTCAAACTTGAACCCGGCTCTTTTCTGCTCTAAGGTAGTTCTCTAGCTACTATGCCATGGTGCCTCTTTCACTGACATAGCCTTTAATGATCCAGGTTCATCTCCACACCACAGTGAAGCATCAGAGTGGGATTTTAATGCAAAGTCTACAACAAGAAGAAATTTCTCATTTTGTTGAAAACTTCTTACAGCAGACCTGCACAGCTTGGCAGTAGGGAGAGGCCAAAATTAAAATAGACTAAGCTTCTTTGAGCCGCAGCTAGTTTTTCAGTGGCTCACTTTCCAAGTAAAGGTAACTAGAGACAGACTGCCTATGGTTGGTTGCCACGGGTCATGCGACAAACAAGAGAGAGTATGCAGTGGCAACCCACCCGCCACGTTACATGACAGGCACAATAGTAACTGGTTAAATGGGGAATGGACAAACCACTTGTTAGATCTTTACTTTCTTTTGCATCCTCTACAGTTTTCATGGGCTGCCCAAAATCCTTTGGTGGGTCACAAGCAGCTCACAGGCCAAGTGTTGTACAGGCCTGCTTTGCAGCTACATCTCAACATTTACATAGCAATGGAAGATAAGATTTGATTGTAAAGGGTGGGCCTAATGAAAAGATGAGAGCACAGACCAGAGTTATTACACACCTGTTGGATATGCATGTGGGCTGCAAAACTCCTGAGTGTGGCCTGAAATGTAATTTGTAAATATTTAGCAAAATGCCCCTTTCTATCAATTATTATGAAAAGTTGTCGAGATCCTCTGAATCCACCTGGCTATTATACTAACGTATTTTTTGTGAACATTATAACACGCATCCTCTTTCAGATGATGCTGAATGCACAAATGTTTTCTCTGTCTTTTGGAAACCTCTCTGACTTTCATTCATTCATTCAGTTATTCAACAAACTCTGCTAAATACTGAAGATACAAAGATAAAAAACAAAATGCCTTCCCTCAAGGGGCTTACATTTTAATGAATTTACTTACATCAGACATATTTCAATAGTCATTAATGGAATAGATATTTCCCCCCCTCATTTCCAACATTGCAAGTCAATGTGACCATGGTGTTCATTTAACGAGTAAAAGAAGGCACCAGGAGCATTGGTACTGCAAAGGAAGCAATGATAATTCTAGAGACAACAGTTAAGATGACAGAATCACAGAGAGGCTGGCATGTGATTACAGAGCCAAAAATAGAATCAAGTAATGTTAACAAAACTCTATTCCATTGTGTCTATTAACTGCTTATTTTAAGGTGGTTTAATGCTTTTTTATAATCATGAAAATGAAAGCATATCAGAAGCAGATTGTTTCCTCCCTCCCTCTCTCCCTCCCTTCCTTCCTTCCTTCTTAAATTGATGGGGAAAGATGAGGGGGAGAAAAATGCTTGATAATTGAAAAAATGAAATAATAAAATTTAAATTTACAAAGGCTAAAAAAGTTAACAA